ACTACTATGGCAGATGACTTCGGACTAGGTGCGTTCTACATAGTCTCCCTGAAAACAAGACCAAGTTGCGTCAACGAGGTCAACCCATTTATATAAATCGAAAGGAGACTGCGACCATACCAGAGGCCACACCATCTTGGTCTTCATATCTTCAAGACTTTAGATTTCCTTTAAATTGCATAGTCATGCTTTTCCAAAAGATATTTTTAACCAGGGTGTACCTAAGGTCATTGTTGGAAAATCCAACTACCAATCTTCTCATCTCCTTGAACAAAATCAATTGAATATACCTCATATATATGATGTTGTAGAAGTCTCGAAAGTCTATTTATAAAATAGGAACGAATTATTATTGTTTCCTGGCGGTTTCTTATCTTTAATCACGCATACAGGCAAGACCATGGTATTTTCTTCGTAGACCAAATTAGTATGACTTCTGTTTGGTCGTAGTCTCCTTTAGACCTATAGTACTAGTATGATCTAGTTTTGGCAACTTAGTCAAAGCAGCAGGGAGACCTTGTGGAGCATATACAGTCATGCATCCTCTGATATAGCATTCGTGATTTCCAGCATCGGATCATTGACTTAGTTTATTCCAAAACGTTTGGCCGACATCTTCAGTGAGAAGCGCCATTGTTAGCACAGAGTTACAACCCAACAAATTGTCCCCTTAATCAATTTTTGATGAACCGTTGTTATTTCTTTGATGTTGGTGTACTTGTAACTTCGTTTAAACACCCGAAGTCTAAAGGGAGTTGATTGCCTTGGGGCTGTAGATTCATTCAAATAAGTCCTTGGCTCACTGTAATTTAGTGACATATAAAGGACCTTACCAGTTTGGAAAATGGCAAAAAAACTTTTTAAATATGATATTTTGCAATAGCGGTGAGATAAGTCTTCTTGAAATCTTACATTAGGACGTAACATCTTATGCCATAATTGCCAGAACTTGATACAGACCGATTTTAACACGTATACACGCCAGTAAATGCAAACACGCAAATACGCACACAGTTTTTGCCAATTTACTGACTTAACTGTACGTAAATGCGTTTATCCCACCCTACATTTGATCCAGGCTCAGTATAGAAGTTATAAGTGATAAGGCAACTAATTTGGTTAAATGTAAGTAATGCATTCGAGATATGAAAAAAACTTTGTTTCGAAGAATTCCTTAATTAAATAATGTGGCATGACTCTCCACTTCGAAGAAATTCGTGATGTGGTCTTACCGGAAACCGAAGAAGGATTTTCGCGCAAAGAAGACTGTCGAATTGTGCAAAGAAGTCCCTGGCTCACCGTCCTGTGACCCCGATGTTACTGTGCTAAGCCTTCGTCTGTACCACCGGGACAGACATCATCAGAGCAAGATCCATACTTTACGAAATTGAGCAAAACTATTCTAAACCAAGAGATGAAGGTAGCCGGCTGGAAATCTAGATCGCGGTGTAAGGTGTATAAAAAAGCGACTATGTTTGCAGCCGGTCAACTTCTTCTCTTGGTTTAGAATAGTTTTGCTATATTTCGTAGAATATGCAATCTTGCTCTGCTGATGTCTGTCACAGTACAGACAAAATCTTAGCACAATTTCATGGGGTTCGCAGGACTGTGAGCCGAGAACTACTTCGTACAATTCAACAGCCTTCCTTACGCGATAATCCTCCTTTGGTTTCCGGTGAGACCACATCACCACTTCCTTCCAACCAACTTTTCATGCTCCAATAAGGACTGCATTGTTGTAAGAATGGTGTAGGGTCTAGATATTAGGCTTAGTTTTCACCGAAATCGAGCTTGCTTAACCCACAGTCTGCTCCAAATTACACACTCCAATGTGGTGAAACTTTAATAAAACAAAGAAAATTTGCCTTTTTTCCCACGGGATACTCCTAAAAATTTCTTTACATTAAATGTGAGTTATCACAATATGCTTTGAGGTTAAGCGAATAAAGCGTGACAACTCCGTTGCCATGCTCTTGCCAATTGAATACGCACAACATTTACGGCTGTGTTGCGTCTAATAAAGGTAGAAAGAGAGAACAAACCGGCGTGCTTATGCCTAGAAGCGATTATGCACCGACCTCGAGGTTTATGATAACTATTCAGTTTTCCTTGGCCGTAACATTATGTCAATCTATTGGGCGGATGGACTGACCAATTCTGGCTTCTGGAAAACTACTCAATACAAGTGAGGGTTTGAAAGTAGTATAGCAATGCTTCACCTCATTTTACTTTCCGGGATGTATTTCGTTGCACAACTGGAAATAGAGTTAATTTCAGGTGCAACCAAGTTGGCTGTCTCAGAATCTTTTCGTTCATTCCAGTGAATTGATTGCCAAATTCAAAGGTTCATTCCGATTGCAGCCGATAAGCAAGGGGAAATATACTTCACTTCACAGTTTCTTTCAGTTAACGCATTAAATGCCTATCAAGAATGAAGGCCAGGAGTACTCCGAACTCCCTTACTTCATCGCCTACCGTCGGCAGCAGGCGGAGAAATTGTTCTTCCACGCTCGCAGCAAAGAACATGGTCTAAAGCATGTCGACATTCGAACGGGGATTTTGGCAATATTCTGGTTGATCGTGGTGGCGCTGGTGTTCATGCTGCTCATCAAGCTGCTTTCGAATGTAATAATAGGCTACGTCTCCTCCCCAGTGGCAACTCAAATCAAAGCTGAGCACACCTCCATCATATTTCCCGACGTCACAATATGTGCCAAGTCGCCTTTTAACATTCAAAGAAAAGAAGCCGCGGATTCTGCCGATGCAGGAGAGACATTCGATGCGGATTATTTCACGGACTTGCATTCAAATGTAAAACGAAGTCTGGTAGATGCATCTTTGAAGCTGACCAATGGCAGTATCCAGGCGGCGATGTTAATCCAGATGGCAACTAGGGAGGGTGAGCTCAGTAAAACAATTATCTGTTTGATATGTACTTTCAACGCTAGCCTCTTTCTAGAGCTACTTTGGCTCACATGATATTGTTGCCAAATTTTGTATTCGACTCTTCACTCGAGCTTGTATATTCTGCTATCTATAGTTTGGTCATTGCCATCCTCCAAATTTCCCTGGTCAGCATGACTCCCAGAACTGTATCCTCCATAGCTAGCCCAAGATAGTAAAGGAATGGTAATTAATTTCCCAGAAGGCTATCTCACCCAGGCTGGACTGAAATGTGGACCTCGCCTGAGTATCATCAGCACTCCAAATGAGAATAGAACCCGAGTATAGACATCGAAGGATTTTGTTGCGGTAGCAGGTCGAAAATAAACACAGCACCAGCACAATCCAGTTTCGATTCCAAGTGAGGATGCTGATGAGACTCAGACGTAGCCGAAGCTATGGTCTTGTACTTGATGATTATACATTTTGGGAGGCAAGGACATGTAAAATTTATTTAAAAGATTTTCTGCACTTTATATACACGGATTTCGATGAACCTCTTAATATATCATTCTTGTGTAGACTCACATTTCGTATGAAAGTGCATGATGAAGAGATTCTTTGGTCGAATTGACCAGAGGAAGACGGCAAATTCTCGTTATTCTACAACCGTTTGGGTTTAATAAGACTTTAAGGTTGACGTAGTCGTCTTTTCGGGCAAAAACAGTCTGGGCTTTCGTTTGACATATGAAGAACAAAATCAGAGCTTGAATTCTTGCTCATCCAGTTTTCACCGGAAATAAGAGAGGATGTCTTGCGGACTATGGCAACTGGAACACCGTATTAGAGCCAAACGGCTGCAATAAGACGAGAATCGCCGTCGTTTTGTTGTAATATCAATCTACAAATATCTTCATAATGCACTTTCATACGAAATGGAAGTTAACACAACTTCGCAACCTTATGCAATATAAGGTATGAAGACCAAGATAGTGTGGCCTTTTGTGTGGTCGTAGTCTCCTTTTGTTGTATAGAGGTTGTTTGATCTTGTTTTCGCAACATGGTCATATTAGTAAGAAGACTTAGACGAGTTGTAATGTGGTACTAAGTGTGGCATGACTCACTGACGATGCTGATTACGATGTCGGCGAAGTGTCTGGAAATGTACCACCTCCACGGTTCAACTTTGGAAATGATCATGCAGACAATGAACTAGGTGCGTTCCTCTAAGTCTTTCAACCAATATGATCATGTTGCGAAAACAAGGTCAAACAACCTCTTATGCAATATAGACCGAATATAATTCTTGTTGAGGATCTGGTAGTTTCGAAGCCTGAATATAACTTTTATCCACGTTTGTGAGTGTCTCTAATTTGAGATAAAATAACATTCATTATAATATTAGTAGATCTAGAAATCACGAATACCATAGCAGAGGACATTGGACTAGCCACGTTCCACAAGGTCTCCCTAACACTCCGACCAAGTTGCGAAAACAAGGTCGAACCAACACCTCACATAATATCGCACATAAAATACCAGTGAGTATGGAATCAAACGCAACTCTAAGTGGCCAGATTATTTCACAAACGTAAGAGACTTCAATGTATCATTTCGGCCTTGCATGCTTGAAGGTGGAAACTGGGCTAAGCTAAGGCATAGCTGTCAAAACCGGATATCCATCACTGTGGCTAAGTGTATTCAGACGATTGAAACATATGATTTTATAGTCAAGCAATGTCAAATTTCATACTTATGACTGAAGCTGGATATTGAAGACATCCTAAATAACTTGATGTCATTGTAGCATTCACAACTAACGAGAAGATGTCGCGTATGGATTCATAATTATTGCTTACTGCCAACTGAATGCCGATTGCTTCGGAGCTTTGACTTGAGTTGAGCAAACAAATCCTCTGCACAACGTCGATGTAGCTTGGATGAAGCCTCAACTGCAAGAGAATCGTCCCATAGTTTGTATTGAATGCGATTTAGAAATTTATCGGGGCCAGTTTTTTATCATTTGTGAATTATACAATGCTATCACATTATTACGGAAGTCTCGAAACCCATTTTACTTAATTTTCATGAAGTTCTATACCAGCTTGATCGGATGATCTTAGGAGATGGTGTTCTGAATACACTTAACCACACAGATGGTGATCCAGCTTTGAGAGTCTTTGACAACTCTTCTTCGGCTTTTCTCCGTTTTTTAATCTGTCATCTGATAAACACCTTTAAGGCAAATCAGCATATTTAATATTTTTCGTTTTTTAGGCAGGTTTTCAAGACTACCAGTAGATCATATATATGATATGTATTCACCTTTGATGAGGATGCCTTTTTGAAAAGCAGGGCTATGTGAAATTCAGGGGAAACGTTATGTGGACTCATCTTATTGTGGAAAAAATTAAATCCCAGTCCCCTTTTTACCTTAACAGAAATAGTTTGAATATATCTCACCCTATTTAAAACACCTTCAAGCATCTAAGGACGAAATGATGTCTGTACGGTTCGTTTGCGAAATAATCTTGATTTTCTCTTTACTGCGTCACCAGCTTTCCTCATTTTGCGATGTCTTTTGGTGAGTGGTAAAGCAATGATACGCCCTGATCCAATCTAATCTAATATACTTATTTCCAAAATCTCCTCTTTCTTAATTGCTTTCAACCGAGTAAATTGAATTAGAATTATTTATCACAATGTTTGTTTAAAAGCACCCAATGGTGGCTTTTTAAAAGTCGATTATACTCTTTCATTACTGAATTTATGGATTCTTTTTTCCCTTCTAAGTCTATCTCAGTCTTCCTAATACCCTCAACAAAACCACCTTTTAACCAACCCCAAAACAATCTTGTAAGAGAAAATCGCCTTCGCCAGCATGATGCTATTCCTGCCTTTATCGAGCCGAGCTTGGACTAGTTCATGATAGCCGCGAGAGCATAGTTTCTCCAGAACAGACTTTTATCCATTATATGAGTAAAAACGACTATTATACCCTTGTCCGTTATAATTTCCATCATAATCACACTTCAGACCGTACCGTTGTTATTAAGGAGCTTCAGCAAAGTGTACATACAACCTGTCGTATGTACAACACACACAAACGAGTATGCACATAACTTTAGGCGTGTATTCGGGAATACATTGATCAGCATACGCTCAGGTACGCATGCCGTTTGAATGTATGATTTATACAGAAGTGAGCCGATAAAGCCAAGTAGAGTATACAAAATGGAATAGGCCAGGTCCGGCAGGAGCGGACGAGGGCAAAGTGTGGGAAGTCTAGGCACTAGGTTTATTCGAGTTAAAGTGCAAGACGCTTGAAGCCGGTCGTAAAAAATATACACTAAATGGTCGTCAGCCCTGTGTACCCCTCGACTGTACCCTTTTCCCGACCCCATCTCACACAATCACACTGGTGGCTGGCCTTTTCTATGAATGACCATGCGATCAGCTTTGGATACGGCGCTCACTCACATCTTTCTGGTGCCTAGTAGGACTAAAAAGAAACCATCAGCATGCAAGAGTTTACATGGAATACCTAAATACACAACTATGCTCTCCTCATTGCCTTATATGAATTTATATTTATGAACCAGTATGCAAAGAGACATGCACGAATTTATATCGGCTATTGACTGCATGTCCGCAAACTTCCGCTCTTTGGACACTGTTTTGAGTTTCTATACTCTACTTTTTCTTTGGGCAGCCGTTGCCGACCAGAGTAGACGCTTAACAGGCGTTGAAGGACGCAAGTCAGTTTGATTTTGCTCAAACTATACTGACCCGTTTATTCAATTATATCCGCATATATATTCGACATGACAATTAAACTAACCACTTTAGCAACGAGGTGCTTTGTCCACTTCACTTTCGCATGAATGTATCCATTGGTTGATTCGGCATACGCCCGGACCAAAGGTCAGACTGTCACTCCACTCAGCTTACAGAAGTTATAAGATGACCCTGACACAACCCGTGACGTTGATGGAACCTACTCATTCAGGATAAATCGTACAAAAGGGGCAACACTTTAAACTCTCATGCAGGCGCATAAATAAGCAAGCGCTGGACACAATATAGAGACGTATACATCAAGACATGTAACTTCATACATGGATCATTGATATGTACACAGGCGTATGAACAGATAGGTACATATGCGCAAGCAAACAGACATACGAAAACACAAGCCATCCTAGGAATTAATTGGATTTGGTTATGTCGTGGTATTGTGCCATGAGTAAGGGACTCAAATTTTCGTCTCAATTTACACCTACAAAAGATCTTCTTCGAGATGCGAATGACAAGTTGAGTGCGTCACTCATGTAAACATTGCTTGCCGACACTCGTGTTGAACTTTCGATTC